TTTTTTTGTGCATGGAAATCCTGTTACAGATCATGAGGCCCCTCACTGATCCACATCTGATTGAGCCTACTGAATGAGATATCATTGTTCGCTGATCTTCGCGGTATTGTCTGCACCCATGGCTGCACATAATAAAAAAAGGCCGCTGGTGAATGTGACACTGAGTGAAAGTGTCCGTTTAATCATTACAATCCAAAGACAGCTAATACTTGACTAATGAAAGTGAAAAATTTTTTAAAAACAAGTTATAAATCAGCATAATCATCACTTTTGCAGGCAATGAGTAGCATGCTACTGGCTGTAAATATTAATTTATACAGGACGGTTTCATAGGTTGGTTAATAAACATCATGAAACGAGGAGTCAAAACGGTTTACATTGTGCCAGCTCAGGTTTTTTTTTTTTTAAAGCCCAAGTTTAAATTAAAATGCATGCTAAACAAGGTAACGAACAACTACCTTCAAAGACCTTTGACCCTCAGGTCTGAAACGGAGAGCTCGAGGAACCAACAGGAAGTGAAGCTCAGCGGATTAGAGAAAGTAACCTGTCCCCCCTCCATCAAGACCCTTTTGGTCATTTCCTCCGAAAACACATGCTGAATAAAGCTGGATTATAGGAACTCATTCCTGGCTCGCATTAAGTGTCCGTTTAATCATTACAATCCAAAGACAGCTAATACTTGACTAATGAAAGTGAAAAATTTTTTAAAAACAAGTTATAAATCAGCATAATCATCACTTTTGCAGGCAATGAGTAGCATGCTACTGGCTGTAAATATTAATTTATACAGGACGGTTTCATAGGTTGGTTAATAAACATCATGAAACGAGGAGTCAAAACGGTTTACATTGTGCCAGCTCAGGTTTTTTTTTTTTTAAAGCCCAAGTTTAAATTAAAATGCATGCTAAACAAGGTAACGAACAACTACCTTCAAAGACCTTTGACCCTCAGGTCTGAAACGGAGAGCTCGAGGAACCAACAGGAAGTGAAGCTCAGCGGATTAGAGAAAGTAACCTGTCCCCCCTCCATCAAGACACTTTTGGTCATTTCCTCCGAAAACACATTCTGAATAAAGCTGGATTACAGGAACTCATTCCTGGCTCGCATTTCTGAGGAGATCAATCAAGGCTACGGCCACAAACTTAAACCTGATGCAAACATAGCAGCACAAAATCCCAGAAGACTGTGCGAGAAGATGTGATTTTGACGCCTCAAGGTCACAATGGCAAGTAAACTGAATTTAATTCGCTTCTGTTTATTGCAACCATTCCAGTTCTCCCTAGAAACAAACAATCTGCAATGATTCTTAAAGGGGTCATATGATGCTCTAGGCATGACGAAGCGGATATCGTCCTCTTTTGGAAGACCAAATGAAGTAGTTTCGCTTTCACAACGAAGCACACAGCTTCAGGACATGGCTGCAGCGTCAACAATACTACAGTGAGAATAAAAGTTACGCCTTCTTTCTTTGCATGAACATTTGGGCGGCGTTATGCAAATCTTCCCAGATCGTGACATAGGTATGTGGGGGCGTGTTAGAACGAGCCGTTTTAGGTTGGTGTGGCTAACTCTTAACTTTTATAAAGAATATCTCTTTGGTTTTGAGACTTTAGTGTTTGCAACTTTACAGATCTTCTTTATGCACCAAGAGCTTGTAACACTCCAAAGAGAAAGGAAAAATTTAAATCGCATCATATGACCCCTTTAATAAAGTATTATACTTAATAAAGTTTTAAAATCTCAATAAAGACAACCACAGCTAATTTTCACTAGGTTAACAGAGTGTTTCATGAGCAGCAATGGTCGTCTTGAGCGGCAGCTGCAGAGTAATTAGTTGCTTGATTCACATAAGAAGTTTACATACTAAGGGTTGGGCAAAAAGAAAGCAGATTACATTTCGAGAAGCTGTAGCCATGCAACCACACAGAGCAACCTGTTGCCGTCAACTGACTAACCGACTGCAACGCGGCAAAAAGCGCGTCTCAAACTCTAGCTCCCCTCCACAGCAGACTGGTTAAGTCTTTAGAAACAGAGCCGAGCGCAGAAACGTGTTGAATTAGCTTTGTACCAGCAGCTTGGGGTCTGCTAGAGATTGTCTTCAAGTCACATGCTCGTCTCTGTTACCTAGCAACGCCAAAGCCCATGCAAAGCCCATGCAAAAGTTCTCCGAGAACCTCAAATCTGAGGGAGGCTTTGTGCGCCACAGCAACAATGTGTAGCCTACACTATTTACCTTAGAACTATTTTTTTTTTTAATCAAATGCACACTTGTTTTTTATTTTCACGAACCAATTTTATTTTGAGCGAGAATCCGTTCATTCTAGCATGCATAAACAACAATGCCGTTATTCGCACGAATAAATGAGCGATTGTTTATTTTTATCAACAAACTCTGAGAATCTAATTGCACTTTTTGCACAGTTATGTAGGTCAATTAAACCAGAATGATCGTGATATTATGCAGTTACTTGCCCGTTATGTCTGTTAGAAAAAAAGTCCATTATATGCACTAAAGGGGACCGTATCTAAAACAAATATGATACGAAACAAAGTCGCAACGTACCTTGACAATCGCAATGAAGCGCGCATAAAGTTATAATGAGGAGAAGTTGGAGGTGCATTGTGGTGCGTCCAGCCCCTCATGAAGCTCTTGGGACTGAGATGCAGTGAAGTGGCTCTTACTCACTTGTCCCGGGCTGATGAAAAAGGGCGTGCACATGACGCTCCCCCCTCGGCTCGACCCACAGGATCAGATCCTTAACTGGCCCCCAGGAACCTGTTGAGCTCATCGACTAGCCTGCATAATGTGTGCATGGTGCAACAGTCACAGTATGTGAAATATTTACAAATCACTGGTATTATTGCTGTAATAATAATAATAATAATACATTGATAATATTATAGCCTAATAAATAATTATTGTTTATGAATTATTATTATTATACATGTATTTTATTTACCGAGACACCTGTTGCTGCTTTGCATGTTTCCTGATTCTGCAATAGAATGAAGGTTGAGAAATTTGTTTGAAAGTTGTTTGAACACTTTTAAATGGTGTGCTAGCTCTTTGGAATAGACACTAGGCAAAATGACCACTTCTGGCACTTCTGGTATAATAAGATAACCAAACATATCTGATAATCTGATCTAATATATATATATATATTTGTTTTTTTTTTTTGTTTGTTTTTTTTAAACAGAAATATTTTGTAATGTAATAAACACTGGCACTACTCATAAATCTGTTGAATTCAGAATACTGTAAAATCTGGCTATATATATAATTAAATTGTGTGTGTGTGTGTTTGGCCAATTAATTTTTCTTAAACTTTAGAGGAAAATGACCAAGTCTGAGAATAGAAAAAATAGAAAGCTAGTGTTTTTTTTTTTTTAAATAAAAAAAAATAAAAAAAGAAGATAAATATTGATAAAGTAGAATTAAAATAGAATAGAAAGTGTTAGAGTTAGAGGGTCAAATAAAGGTATATATATAATATATAATATATGGTGTGGGATTTACTAGAACCCTAAAGCAATTTTCACTCAAAAATGTCTGGTACATTTCACAAAGAATTACAACGGCATGTAACACATTGACTTAAATGTGAAATTTTAAAGACTGAAATAGTATTATCTTGTAAAACGTACTGCAATAATGTAAAAATGTTGGAGGAAAAAAAAACACTGTAAAAATGTTCATCGTTATGTCTTAACATCAAAAACCAGCTTACCACCTCTTCATCAGTAATGCACTGCAGTCTGTAGCTTTTGGCTATTTTACTTCACGTTTAGGGCAGCAAATTGAAGTTTCCAATTTAAACTTGTGTTTGATTGAACAATTAAGAGAAGTGGCCATTTATCCTAGAGTCAACAGACAGTACTCAATTTTGAGAAATATTGTGTCAGCAAAGTGTACATCAATGTCCTACCAGTTTAAGGCGGTCAGACTGGTGATCAGCCACCTAATAACCAGCTTTCAGTTAATGACCAGTTTAAACCAGTTAACCAACTATGTTCCAAAACGCAGCTACGAGCCACTACTGGCAACAGACATAAAAAAAAAACATATCAACCACTAACTTTTAACAAATTAGTTTGCTTTAATTAATTGGAACAAGTTAACTTTTTAATTTGTGCTTCTATGTATTACAACACCAGGCTAATTCAATAATGACAACTTGACTGTGGTTTTTATAGTCTGTTGTGAAACTACATTATGAAGCTTCTAAGTGTGCACGCTTGAGTCAATATTTTAGCTATTAGCAAAAATATGATGCTTATTATTTTAAATTATTATTGGTAGTAACCCACAACTGTGTCTGATTCTCAAGATTGAGCACAAGTTCTAGTCTTCCAAGAGTCAAATAATGCAAAACACGGTTTTAAATGCGTTACTTAAGGTCAGTGAGTTTCTATAAGGAGTCACTCAGGCAAGTCAAAGATCCCATGCTTAGCTAATAAGTGGACCTTTTGGGCCAAAACTAAAGTTTGATGTGTGTTAAAGTGACCCTTTTATGTCCAAAACTTTTATTGTGATCCTCAATTTATAATTTAAGAGCTCCCACTGAAAAAAAACAAACAAAAAAACATTTTAAACCAGTCTAAGATTTTGGCTGGCTTCACAGTCTGACTGGCTCTAAACAGTCTGTTGATTTTTTTTTTTTCAACAGAGCTACAGCTGTAGGTTATAACTTAATGTTAATCAAATCAATTATTTATTCTTTATTCTTCTGATCAACCTAATGCAAATGTGTAAAAACAAGTCTGCACCTTTCGAACCAGTATAAACCTAAACCAAATAGGAGTCGTGGCGACATCTAGTGGTAAAACTCGAGCACTACACCTGCTTTTTCAGCCCAATCTGCTTAACCTGAGGGGGAAACACAAAACAGACATATCTAGATCAACAGGACGTGTTATAAATGTGAGTCGATTTTTAAAATGCTGAATCACATTCTCAATTGTAGTCTATCTAAAGGGAAAGATACGCGAAATAATCGCGACTGGATTCGCTGTTGCTAGGGGCAACCGGGGAAAGTTTTAATAGCCACAAGCCGTAGGATCACTGCAGCTCACTGCGGTCGAGGCGCCTTTGTGAAGAAACCTCACGATTTTTTTCAGCAAAAACATAGCCTTGAAAGCTTCAGCATGACATCTCCTCAGAAAATCCCAATAGACCTAAAAACGATGATCAAAGACACTAAACAGGTACGTGATGTTCATACAAAATTGTTTACGCCCATTTCTGCAACTGACACGCATGATCTCTGTTTGCCTGTCAAGATCCATCAACCACCGACTGTTTTGATTTTGTATTTGTGATAAAATCGTGATTTGAAACGCATAATTCGCCCAAAAAACAACAAAGCAACTGGTGGCGCATTAAAAAAAAAAATCGTTTATTAAAGCCCCCCCCCCCCATTCATTTTTAGATTGAATTCAAATTTGTAACTAATTTAATTAATTTTTGTAATATGTGAGGCGTGATACTCTACTTGCAGTTTGTGAGCTTTAAAACCAATAATCACCCAGTAGTGTAAACATACCGGGGCTTGTTGTCACATTTTTTTAAAACCCATTTAGGCTACTATTTTCAAGGAATTTATGTTACTTCTTCCAACTCAGTTTCGTTGACAAACACCTTGAACATTTCCACCGATACTGCTTAAGAAAATAAAAACAAACAATACAGTTCATATAACACATGTCGACTTTTTGTCATAACGTGCCTCAGTGGCGTCACACTGAATGGGGTAAGTTGTCACAATGGGTATAAATAGCAAACTTGTAACTTGCAAAAATAATAAACCATTGTTTTGGTTAAAAATATTACAGTTAGTACGCAGTATAAATTTATATTAATAATATTTATGTATTTAAAGTATGTGACAACTTGCCCCAACAAATACTCTAGTTCTGAAAACACAGATCATTTCAAATCGGCCATCATAATATAATAGACTCTTGCTTGGCTTGTGTATCCCAGTGTGGTTTCATTGCGTTCATAAAAAAAAAAAACGAAAAGGTGCAGCTATCAAGAAGTTTTGCAAACAAACAAACATGAAGAAATGGGAAAATCCATGAAAACTTGCAAAAATACCTGATTATAATGCCTCTCAAATATAATAGAAGCTCTACCCCTGATTAACAATTACTATCAAAGAATAACATTAAAGAGAGAGAGCTAGAGAACTCTCCCAACCATAGATTATACAAACAGGATATATACCTGACTCTACCATAAGCATAGAATGTATTAAACAGCAAAAAGACAAACCTCAGAATAATATGCATGATTTTCAAATTAACATAGAGTTGTATCCTTAACTAAACTAATAAACAAATGATTCAACAAAACTATAACAAAATGATGTGAACAGGTGAATGTGACTGAAATGGTACAGTCCCATTTCCTGCTGGACTGGCAGAAAGGTGGTGCCAAAGCCCCATTTCCCCTTTTGCCTGATTGTACCTGAAAATACATCCATGAAAAAAACTGCAGTCACTTCTGTAATTCTACAGCTGATTTGTGCTCTGTAAAAACAGATAACAAGTTATTATACAAGAAGTGTGCATCCTTTAATATGCACTAAGGTTAAGTACTGGTTTTCTCTGTTTCGGTATTCAAAATATGGCATACATTCTATATACACTGAACGACTTATCATCCAGGCTGATTAATCTGCGATATTTGGCCATTTAAAGTCATTCTGCCAACAGCTTTGTCAGTGCACAAATATTCAAATAATTTTCTAATATTTTTGAGTGAATTTTGAGTAATTGTTGTAATAAAAAGTGTTATTTCATGTAATTTAAATTACATGCTATGACTAATTAAAGAAATAATTCACCCAAAGATGAAAACTGGCTGGAAATGTTCTCATCCTTAGGCCATCCGAATGCAAATGAGTTTATTTCTTCATGGGAACAGATTTGGAGAAATGTAGCATTACATCACTTGCTCACTAATGGATCCTCTGCAGTGAATGGGTGCCG